GGTCATCGGTATGTGGTACAATACTTTTATTTCAAAGGACTCAGTCCAACCAATATAAAAGCTGAACTGGATTCTACTCTGGGTGAGTCTGCTCCTTCGTTTACAACAGTAAAATATTCGGTAGCAGAGTTTAAACGAGGCCGTACGAGCTGCCAAGACGGGCATCGCAGTGGTCGACCAAATGAGGTGACAACTCCAGAAATGGTGAAGAAAATTCACAAAGCGGTACTGAATGATCGTCGACTGAAAGTGCGCGAGCTAGCGGACATAGTAGGCATTTCAAAAAGTACGGTTCATCGCATATTATCTGAAAATTTCGACATGAGAAAGCTGTGTGCAAGATGGGTGCCGCGATTGCTTACAATCGAGCAAAAACAGTGTCGTGAAGATGTTTCAATTGAATGTTTAGCGAAGTTTCACAGCAACAAGCAGAATTTTTGCGTCGGTTTTATAACCATGGATGAAACATGGGTCCATCACTTCACACCTGAGACAAAAGAACAATCAAAACAATGGACTCAAAAGGGACAACTGGCTCCAAGAAGGCGAAGACCGTTTCATCTGCAGGCAAGGTTATGGCGTCGGTTTTTTTGGGGTGCGCGTGGGATAATTTTCATTGAATGTCTGAAAAAGGTAAAACTATCAACGGCGAGTAATATGCGAACTTATTGCAACGTTGAGAGACGAAATCAAGCAAATACGGCCGCATTGGTTAAAAGAAAGTGTTGTTTCATCAAGACAATGCACCAGGTCACAAATCCGTTATTGCAATGGCCAAAATTAACGAATTAAAGTTTGAATTGCTATTATTTTCTGTTTCCAAACTTGAAAAAATGGCTCAGTGGTCAAGATTTTCCAACGATTGAAGAGTGCTGTCGGCAGTAATGCTATTTTGAGCAGTAAGACAGTTCTTATTATAAAAAGGGTATCGAACTTATTGAACATCGCTGGAAAGGTGTACAGAGCTCAAAGGAGATTATGTTGAAAAATAAATACATTTTTTTACAAAAATTTTGTGTTTTCTTCGTTGGGGTCGGGTACTTCTGGGACCACCCTAGTGAATAAATCTTCATATTCTTATGTATGTTACAAGATGTACGAATATGATGTTTTGAAAATAACGGAATTCACATACCTGGTTTGTTCAGACAAGTGTTGGACTAGATGATTAAATGCCTGCAGAGCATTAGTGCCATACCATTCACGCCAAACCAGCTCATCCAGGAACTGAAATAGAAATTACATGACGCTACAAAATAGATAAACACACAACAGATAAGCACTTCAAAATTGTCTATAGCGGCGTCTATCAGAACAAAGTGCTACTCAAGCGATTACCTAACGCAATCACATGTTTCACAGACAAAACATCAGTAAACTCGTTTTTTATCCGCAAGGCTATCAATCCTGATGAACGTAGCCTGAAAAATATACTGCAACATTGATTAATGTATTCCACCTGCAATTGGCTAATATAATAGTTTCGCGCGTTCTCATTACGTGTTAAAGTCATGCACGACATCTCACCCACGTCACGGTTCTTGTTCATTTCACAATAACCCTACACCCTAAGGCCAGACAGAAAAAAAGACCATAATATTAGAAAAACCCACTAGGCTTCAAATCTATCCCAGATGCTACAAATGTTGAAATGTTCGCAAATGATTTGATATTTGTTATTGTTACGTCAGCACTGTCTATGAAATATACTGAATGACAAAAAAGGTAAACACCTACAGTAATGACAAAAGTATATAAACAAATATGAATATTTACTTAATACCTTTAGAAAACGAATTCATACTTCATTGCTCCATAAACAAATGCGTTATTATTAGAAAAACTAAATTCCTTGTTTTTACATTATCTGCAACGAACACAATACAAATCTGAATATAAGCACTTTTTTATGAGGGACAAAAATATGTAGACAAATTCTTTTCAACATTAGTTTAGTACAGTTTCGCGTCAGAAGAGGATTAGTTTGTGTTCATCAAGTATTGTGGAATAAGTTGAGTGATTTTAAGACCATGCCGCGTGGTCCAGAAATTGCTTTCGACGTGAAAACTAAGATCATTGAGTTATACAAAGATGGTCAAGGTGACTTACTATATGAAAATCAGTTTCCAGGGGGAAATGTTGCATACACTTTCAAAATTTCACAGCGTATCATTGAATTATCTAAGAAAAAGTAAACAGTTTAAAATCAAATAACAACTGTGCCGAAATCACTACTAAAAACGTGCTGAAAAACTGTTTCGGAATTTTGGGATATCCTGTATTAAATTGGATCAATTGTTCACTGAGAAGCAGTTCTTTTCCTGAAAATTTGAAATGCTCTACAATAACACCAGTTCCCAAAATAAAAAATTCTAAAAGATGCAGCAATATGAGACCAGTAAATGTGTTACCAGACATTGAAAAATTATTAGAGTCCATAGTGCATGACCAATTAATGCAGTTTATAGAAGAAAACAAAATTTTAGTGGAGGCGCAAGCAGGCTTTCGAAAAAAATATTCCACAGAAACAGCTTTCCAGTTGGTAACAGAATTGGAGAAGAGCCATAGACTCAGAAGAAGTTGTCATAGCAGTATTTTTGGATTTGAAGAGGGCATTTGAAACGACTGATAGAGATATTTTGTTAGGAAAATTGAAGGCATATGGTATAACAGGAAGTGTTTTAGATTGGTTCAGAAATTATTTGTCTAAAAGGATGCAAGTTACAAAAGTTAATGACACTATTTCATCAAAATTGAAAATACGTTGGGTGTTCCACAGGGCAGTATCCTGGGACCACTTCTTTTTATTTTATACATAAATGATTTACCTGCCATAGTCAAAAAATGCAAAATTCAGATTTCGCCGATGACACTATGATTTATATAAGTACTAAAATATTCAGTCTGGTATATCTTATATAAATGAAGACTTGAAGCTTGTCTCAAAATGGTTAGCATCTAACAGACTCTAAAATTAAATGCAAGTAAAACGAAAGCCTTGTTAATCGGAAAAAAACAATGTACAAATGTTCAACTGAATATTGATGGTGAAGATATTGATTCGTAGAAAATTTTAAATACCTGGGGGTTTTTGTTGACTCTCGATTAATTTTGATATTCATTATGAAAAAAGTTATAAATAAGATTAGTAGTAAAGTGGGATATTTATCGAGAGTTTCTGGATGTCTGAGTTCATATAGCAGAAAAATTATCTAGAATACCATCATTCTTCCAAATTTCTTGTACTATGTGTTCTATTCTATATTTAGCAAATAATTCCATTTTTGAAAGACTGCAATTTTACAAAATAAGTGCATGAGAATAACACTAAATAAAGATAAATATACTCCAATTAGGCAAATGCTTAGCAAATTAAAATGGCTCAATGTAAAAAATTTTTATCAAATATCTTGTAATGATATTCATTTATAAAGTAAAAAATAATATATTTCCATCAAGTCTAACTAATTTAACATCATCAAATGTCGACCATCATTTACATAATACCAGAAATAAAGATGACTTCCATTTAATGATCAAAAAGTATAACATATGCTCCAAATCTGTATTCCATCAAGGGTTGATTGAATATAATAAATTATACTCGGAGATAAAAGACCAGAAAACTTTGACAAAATTTAAAGTAAAATTGAGAAATCACTTGTTAAATCTACAATTATAGGTTGCCCAGCATTTACATCATACACCATATGGCTTGAATTTACTAGTTCTAAGTTGTTTACAATTATTCTGTTTATGTAGCCAAATGTGCTAAATAAATCTTTCTACTACTACTACTACTAAGTCGACATTGCCAAAAATTTGAAGCTGAAGCGTAAAGCAGTTTGGGCAATATTGAACAAATGTAACAAAAAGGTATCTTGGAAGCCTCTAAGAGAAGTGGTCGGTCTAGAAGACTAAATGCTAGATCAGTTAGAATAATAAAAGTAATTTCGTCCAAACATTCGTTTAAAACCCCAAGACAAATAAAAGTCGAAATCGAGACAAAAGGAATTGTCAGTGTTTCTACGAAAACTATAAGTAGAAGATTAAATGATTTGAAGTTATTTGCACGTCGCCCGAGAATGAAGCCGCTAATCACGAGGAAAAACCGTAAGGACCGATTACAATTTGCACGGTTGCATCTTGATTGGAGGATCTGTGACTGGAAGAGGGTATGTTTCAGTGACGAATCCAAGTTATGTGTGGATCAGATGGTGTTCATTACGTTAGACGTCCTAGTGGACAAAGATTGAACCCCAAGTACACTTTGCCCACTGTCAAACATGGAGGCGGGTCGGTTATGGTTTGGGGGTGCTTTCGGAGTTTGGGATGGGACCTTTACATAGAATAGATGGCATTATGGATAAGTTTGTATACACAAACATACTAAAGCATGTCATGTTACCCTATATGGAAGGCCCCTTAAGATAATCTTCCAGCAAGATAATGACCAGAAGCACACTTCAAATCTCGCAAAGAAATTCTTTCTGGATGAAAAATACCAGTTGTCAAATGGCCTTCACAGTCTCCCGATATAAACCCCATTGAAAATCTACGGGAATACTTAGATAAGCACATACGAGATGAAAATTATTCGAACAAGGATGAACTTTTTGCCGCTTTAGAGCCAAAGTGGAGATAGATTGATGCATCTTATATCAAGAAACTTCTACAATCTATGCCGAGACGATGCCAGGCGGTGATTGATAATAATGCTTATGCTACAAAATATTAACACAAAAATGGTTGGTTTTCTGTAATTCAATGAACTTTGCTTCTTTTTTTTATACTTGTTTTGCTTTGTCTATATATTTTTGTCCTTCATAGTTCCAGTTTTTTCAATTAATTTTTTATTGAAGGGAGTCTAATGAATTTTTTTATGTTTATATTTGTTTATGGAGCAATGAAGTATGAATTCGTTTTCTAAAGGTATTTAGGTAAATATTCATATTTGTCTATATACTTTTGTCCATTACTGTATATAAAAAATCAGCCATCAGAATTCAGTAAAGTGAGTCTTATTTTTATCATTAACGTGGTCCACCTATTTTGACCTTTCTCATCTGGAACCACCAAATCGAACCGCTACCCAACTTAGCGGATATGCAGGCGTGAAAGTATGTAGAACTTTATTCTGTACCCGTTTCATCTTCGAGAAAATTAGTAATGTCTGGCAAGTACAAAAGGCAAACACTGATATGATACATTGTGAAGATGTAACATTTTGTCCGTCGCTGAGAACTTCTTAAGAGTATGAAACCCTAAGACTTACGGGATATAACCTTTTTCAGGTTAGTATTACGTTCAGAAATGTACAATTCTTGTTTTAAGGAAAATGCAGTATATTTTTATTCATTCAAACGACACTACTCCGATCCCATTTGGCAACATCGCTGTTAGAGATCAATCTGTCAGTTTTCTAATCAAGTTGTCTACCTTCAGGTGAAATAGATTAATGAAAGACTGCACTCACCTGTTGAATAATCTGTCTGGAGAGCAGCGACAACGTGTTCTGGAACATTCTAGGCACGATCCTCCGCAGATAATCCATGATGGCCCGATTGTTACCATATTCGCTGGACGAGTTCTGCACCACGTTCTGGAAGCCCATGTTGTGCAGAGTCTGTTTGTCCACGGTGAGATCAGCGACAAGGATGCTCTGAGGATGCACCCATTGGAATACGGGTTCCAGGATCTTCGAAAAACGTTTTTTGTAGTTTCGGTCGCCGTCTACTTGCGGTTCTACTGCTCTCAACCTATGAATAGTTGCCATAGAGGGAACGTCACAACATAATAAAAAAAACCGAAGAAAATTGTCCAAACCAGTACTTATCTATAACATTAACCAAAACAATAAAAACTTCTCATGTCATAGGTAAGTTTTGGGAGTATACAAACAAAAACTGCGTATTTGGGTACAATTGCAAAATTGTATTACCTGATCAATTTAGTAGCCGTCTCTAACACACCCAGAACTTCAACTTTGACCTGTCGTTGGTTTCCGTCTTGTGACGTGGTACCCAATGAAATCACACCGATTTCTACCTTGATTCCAGGTCCCCCAATTTTTCTTAAATGGCTCTGTAGCCCAACTGTGCATACCGCACGTAGCCACGTGTACATTCCTTTAACGTACAGGTTGTCTACTTTCACCTATATAAAGAAGAACAACGGTTATGAATCATGAATAATGCTATCATATTAACAGTGTGTAGTGTAAATCGCAAAAAAATGAAAAATGGAAACTATTATTTACTATCATTCAAAGAGATATAGGAAATTCCAACGATCATAAAATTAGAAAGGTCCTTAAGTCATTCCTCCGGTGTTAAATATGGTGTTGACACAGCTTGCGGTTCTAACGCAGTACCAGAAATGCTCCATTATGTCAAACTTCATACAATACTTCAAATAGTATATGTATTTAAGATCATGCAGCACTGCTCATTGACAAAAATGAAACCTCCCTGGAAAACCCCACTGCAGACAACATACTTACCCATTGTGTAACATTTTGAATGTTGGTTTGACATGACCAATGGTAGAGTAACTTCAGTATGACCATAGGCGGATGAGGGGATCCTTCAAACAAGGACCCGCTGAAGACGGAGACAAAACGTTGTGGACAACATTCTGAAATCCACACGTAACCTCCGGAGTACGGAAATTTCGATACGTCACTGTACATGCCTAACTTCAACTGGTTATTCGTGTGTACAGAACATTTCTGTTCAGATTTCACTAGGCCTTGTTGGATCAACCTGAAATATGATTTTAATGGTTGGAGGCGATTTCAAAATGTCACTATCACAGAGCGTTTACAACCATGAAGCAACTCCACTGTCTGCAGAGCAAATACGTCAAATCTTGTATAATTTTTACAAAGTTCTATTACAGAAGAAGAATTGGACTGACATAATGGGGAATCTTCCACCCAGACAAAATCGCATTTTTAATAGGTGGAATACGAGGGATGTCTTTTAAGTTTTGCATATAGAAACATAGTAGGCCGCGCGGATCGAACGTCAGTACTGAATCTTAACCTCACTCTTTAGTAAACTTAAATAATTCAAAGTTTCACAACAGTACGTGCAGTGTTCTCACACTTTAAGTGTCACCAAGTCATTAGAAAAATGAAACTCAACCGAGAACATTTTCGCGCCATAATTTATTACAACTTTCAGAGACAATTATCGCAACAAGAATGGTCTGTTTTCGGCAACGAAGCGTCACATCAGTCGACAATTTCCCGTTGGTATGGAGAATTCAAACGTGGACGGGTGAGTCTTAGGCCCGTATCATCAGTCGTCCCTACAATTGTAGGGCGCGTTTATGGCATCCTTGATTGTCATACTCCTTTCTCTCCTTAAAAAATTTCTAGATTACACTTGTCCCGTGTCAGCGTCAGCGCTCTCCTATTGTAAAGATATGTTGTCTTTTTATATATATATATATATATATATATATATATATATATATATATATATTTGTAGGAAATTTCAGGCTGATAAAACACGATATAACTCAAAAGCAAGCACAATTTGATGCAAATAGATGTTTGTGACATAACCTCAAAATAGAGCGCTGACACGTAGAAGTAGAAAACTATGACAATCAAGGAGGCCATAAAGGCGCCCTACAATTGTAGGGACGACTGACGATACAGGCCTTAGCGACGATCCCAGGGTGGGTGCACCAAAACGGCAGTCACCCAGGAAAACGTCGATGCTGTGTGCAAATTCATCATTGAAGATAGACGAGTGACATAACGCGAGATTAAGGCGTCCTTGAAGATCTCAAAGACTTCAATTCAAAAAATTTTACATGAAGAATTAGGAGTAAGAAAATTAGTTTCTCGTTGGATACCCCAACTGTTGACTGAAGAGCAGAAAGTAGCCAGGGTTAATTGGTGTCAAAAAACGCTTGACCGTTTGAATTCCGAAAACTCAAAAAATGTGTACAGCATTGTTAGTGGTGATGTATCGTGGATTTACTGTTATGAACCAGAAATGAAACGACAGTCGGCTGTTTGGGTGTTCCAAGGTGAAGAAAAGCCAACAAAAGTCATCCGTTCTCGAAGTGTTTCGAAAAAGATGGTCGCGACATTTGTGTCAAAAGCGGGTCATATTGCCACAATTCCGCTTAATGAGCAAAGAACTGTTACTGCGGATTGGTATACCACGATTATTTGTTTGCCAAAAGTCGTCACCGAGCTTCGAAAAATCAACCCCGAAAGAAGAATCATCCTCCACCGAGACAATGCAAGCTCGCGCACAGCCCAAAAAACAACGCCTTATTTAATGGAAGAAAACGTGGAATAATTGGATCATCCTCCATATAGTCCCGATCTAAGTCCTAACGATTTCTTTACTTTCCCGAAAATTAAAAACAGACTGCGTGGTCAAAGGTTCCAGTCACCAGAAGAAGCAGTTGACGAATTCAAAAATGCCGTTTTGGATATGCCAGCAAACGAGTGGAATAAGTGCTTCGAAAATTGGTTAGAGCGCATGCAGATGTGTATTAATCTTCGTGGAGAATACTTCGAAAAACAATAAAGTCATTTACAACTACCTACCGTGTTGTTTTATTTCCATATGCAAAACTTAAAAGACAAAACTCTTTGCATCGATGCTTCAAGCAGGATGAAGTTTATTCTAGTTTTCTCATTCACGTATTAAAAAACGTATTTGAACCTTGTTCAATATAATAGGATTTAAATTTTACTGCATTGAGATAAAATGTCATATGTTTCATGTCAATCTATCAATTCTCTAAAACTAATCACATGTGACGAAACTACCACAGCAGAAATAGAGTCACAGTCCAAGGATAGGACATGAAAAATGTCGCTAGAACTTATTACGTCCCAGCTTTATCGCGAAATTGTAAGTTTGCAATTTGGAGATGAAATTTTGCGACTTATCACTTCATATTGTTCATTTAAAAAAGCAAAAAAATAATATTTCGACGAAATACATTTTTTACGTATCTCATTCTGGAAGGCTGAAATTTTCAAAAATGGCATCAGGTACGTTAATTATGTACGTACTCCCAATGCAATACTAGTAACCTGGAAATATGTAGTCTAGCTGGCTAGACATGTCTTAAACAGTTTTTAGAAATGCATATCAAATCCGAAAATACTATTTTTGAGATCCAACGAAGATCTTCATTTTTAAATTAATGCTAATGTCACTGCCATATTCTAAATTAATCTGTTAGATGCCATTCTTTCAACTAAACTCCAAAGATTGAAAAACATACAGAAATAATATTTCACGCCTAATCTTCAAACAATAAAATTATATTATATTACGAACAAATGACCAAAGATGACTTCGGTAATTGCGATAAAATTGTACTTTTTTTATATATCTTTACACACCACGAAAAACATCTGAAACAAATCCTGTGGATTTCATGCTGATAAAACTCCAAATGGCCAAATGAAACCGCATATGTTAAAATTACTCTTTACTGACGTTTTGGTTACAAGGTGGTCTTTTTAGAAATACAGGGTGACTTTGAAGTTGAGTCATTAATTTTCAGATAATGATTGTAGAAGGAAGATAAACCAAAATATGTGTGTAAAAATAAAAAAAAAAATTAAAAAAAAATTTTTACCTTGTTTTATAAAGTATCCTCCCGACAAGTATTTCAGTGCGGACCTGTATTCGATCGTGAGGTCTTGGAGCACCGGCATGCCGTCCATATGTGAGGTCTTAAGTCAAATGATTCACGAACCCGTTGTGCTACATTAACAAAGGCACGAGGGGTTGGTTGCACTCGATTGGGAAACCGATCCGCATAAACATGTGCCATTTTTTATTTCCTTTGAGCCACGCAACAGACACCACTATCCACTACCGACTGACACTGACTGTATACAACTGAATGAAATAATTGTAAAAACATCGTTCCAAATTCTTTCGCTTTTTTGTTTCCGATGCGATGAACCGATAAGGCGAATTATATCCGTTGTCGCCAAACACGAACACATAATATTATTATTTAGACAGGGCGGTACTCAAACTTCCAAAGGGCTATAACTTTGTTACTTTAATTTTACCAGAAAAATGGTAAAGGAAAAAAACATTTCTTTTGATCAGATCTACTCACTGTTAAAATAAATGACTCAACTTCGAAGTCAAGTATATGTAGATCAATGACGAAAACCTATATTTCTATCAGTCTGTCAGAAGGATGAACTTTTGAATCGGTTCAGTGGCGGCATGGGAAATACAGAGCAAAGATTTTTTTAGTTTCTACCTACTCTACAAGTTTTAATCAAACATAACATGAAAACTGAATATTGAATAGGTAAAGAAATTTACAGATAACGCTTACCATTCTGTGAATTTAGTAGGCGGATGCATGAGTACACTCTTAACCTTGGCATCCAATTTTGGTCTTTCAGCCTGCATATCTACGGTAGCCCTAAGATGTGGCCTAGCTACCACCACCAGCGAAGGGTACGTTTTGCCCTGTAGCTTGTTGAACGATATCTCTCTGCTGTCCGGTGCATTGGCGCGACCGTCTTCTGCCGTCAAATCGACTACCACCTGCGCAAAGTAGAAAATTAAAATTGAATTTTATGTTTATAATTTGATATTTCAACTAGGGATCGGCCGACGTGTATATCGACAATATCGGCCTAATTGGCTCATACACAAATAGGCCAATAGATACGAGGTCTGTAAATTAAGTGATGAGACTGATTAACCGACGATATAAACGCATAAGATCCAGGCTTCTATCGATATTTTCGTCGGTTCTTGTAGATGATTGCTTCCCGCTCGTGGTTCATCATTAATCGTCTCTCTTCCTTCTGAAAATGCCTTAAAAAACCACCTCAAAAACCTGGGCTCTTGACAAAACACTACATCCGTAGGCTTGTATAGCAAGAGTTTCCATTGCACTGTGCCCAAGTCTAAAGAAAAACTTTTTTTCTCTTCTCGAAGGTGAAAAATCACTTCAAGGTAACTGATTTTGGGACAGTCGAAAACATTCAAACGGCTACTTGAGACGGGTGCTCGTTGTGAGACATACGAAGCTCGCATTTCGCAAATCTTCAACGTCCTAACAGAATGAATCGTACTCACGTTTCCTCTGGTCTTCTTTCCTGGCGTAGTGTTAGTGCCGGTCATCAAACCTCCTTCTACGTTGTTTTCTGAAGGTCGGGCATTCGCGTAGCTCGCTGCTGCGGCTGCCTGTCCCCTTTGCGGTCTGGACGGTGGGGTCGGCACCACTGGTTGTTGCACTTGCTATAGAGACACATCTTTTATCGATTGAATGGTACAGGCAGCTTGTTTGAAAAACAGTACATGTTCGACTTGATGTGATTTTGCTCCTAAGCTACGGGGCGACTTGCAAAGTACTGCTTGGCTTTGGATGAAATGTTTACACAAAATTACTACTATGCCATTGACGAAAAAGCTTAGTAGTTTTTATAAATCGGTCCAGTGGCGGCGAGGAAAAGGACCGAAAACGATAAATATAAAAATCGATCTGACGTTTTTTGTTGAAACATCAAAAATTAAGGGTGAAGGGGATGGGAGGTTTTAAGAGGTGGTGGAGGGTATATCTCAATTTTTTATATAAGTAAATTTATACGCTCCCAATCCCGGTAATTCTACGCACCTATTTGTCATATTTCAAACATTATAGGTATCCCCATACATTTGTCGGTGAGTCCTTGAGCGCTGCCACGTCTGACTATATGGGAAAGGGCCTTTATTAACTGATGGCGGTGCATAGGGAGTGCAGAGTCAACCTACTTGACGCCGTTTTTTTTGAGATGTAGCAGTTTTAACTTTTCAATCCAGGCATAAGTGAGGAAAACATACATTCTTAAATTTCAGGCATTTTTTTCAATGTTTCATTAAAAAAAAGTGAGTCTGGATAATATCTATGCCCAGAGAGAGGTCATGGTATTATTGATACAAAAAAGTCACTGTTAATATGAAAAGCCAACATATTGAAATGAACTTACAAATTTTGACGATATATGTACGTATACTATACTAATAATCGCGATTTTTACAACATACTCAACTGTTTCAATGGAATCACTTACCATTCTGGTGGACCTGGTAGGCGTAACCTGGGGCGGCTTGTTCTGCACTACCTGCCTGACAGGCGCCGGAGGTGTTGGAGGCGGTGTCCCAGCTCCTCCCTTGCCTCCGCGCCGGGTGCGCATAGTTCTGCCCGCCACCGACTGGATGTTCGGCGTCGAAGGAAGAGACTTGGGCTCCGTCAGATTCTGAGCAATCTGAAATATAGGATATATTGAAGATAAAATAACATCAGCATTTCCTTTCTTTCTTCTTGCTTTATTTCATACTTACTTTGACTAAACCCAACAGATATAATGACCTACAAAATCTTCAACCATTCTGACAGACGATGCACTATTTTCGTCTCTCTATAGTCTTTAACAGGGTAACAAGAAAACAACACGTTTGAGAGTAAATATACCTATTGATATTTGATGATGACTGAATTACAGGGTATGTTAAGCAACATTTAAAAAAACGATTGTCCTGACACTTTTTTAAGGCGTTACTGTGACCAATGACGCAAAATATTCTTTTCGTCGTTATCTATTAGAGCAGTCCGTAGGGACTCGGGTATAGCTGAAAGGGGTAGGTATGTCTGGTCTAGGCTGCGATCGATTGTTAGAGTGCATTTCATTTCGTACTATTTTTTTGACGTACGTGTTCCAGGCTTTCGGACATAGAACAAAGTACTTCTGGTACGTCAAAAATGCGCTTTTTTATTCTTGCGCTAAGCTTTTAGAATAACAGTGTTATTACTTCTCATTGTTTGCTTTATTTAAAGTGCTGAAAATTTTCTGAGTATATATTTTTTAAGATAAATTGGCTACCTCGTATCCATAACTTTAACTGTCACCAACTGGCATTATATGACTCTTAATAATTTGGGCGTTCTAAAAATTAAGTTTCACAATATTTCCGACTAAAATTTCATCTGTCAATCTACATTTCATTACTGTGTACGGTATTAAATACCAGGTCATTTACAAATTCACCCCTGGTTGTCCAAACACCAAAAGTCAGAGGAAAGTTGATCTACGCTGTATTTAAATCTCATTTACCACCCATCAAAGCAAACAACAGCGCACAATGTCCCAATTCGCGTGCTCCTATTGGCCAGCGGGACATAAATTCCTGAACAAACAAGCGATAAGAAGTGGTGATCGAGTGATTGTGTTTATTTTGACGTGGAGTAAATGATGTTTGAATAAGGTATAGAAAATTAATATGTTAAAATGATTCTACCTTATGTTTGTCTAAAATTGCCACAAGACGTTGGTTACAGCAGGTTACACTTCAAGGACGTGTTTTTGACACAATTTTGACAGAAATGTCACCCAAAAATACATGTTGACGATCATGTAATCAAGGGCACACACATGCACAGGGTGTTTGTTCCTTACTTCAATCGTTTTTCTTTCAAATGAAAAATCATTATACAGGTTTGAACTCTTTTGCATTCAAATTTTTCTAGGCATGGACATTTTATTGTGATTCATCATTAAATCAGATAAGTATTCCGAAAACATTTGAAGTTTGAATAGTTCGACAATGACCATTAGAGGACAAGAAATGATTCTTATGTTGTAGGTATGTGCATTCCTAAATACAATGCGGGAGCTAAAAATAGACCAATATGAAAATCCTGGAGGAAAACTTGATATTTCAGCTACAGACGAAAATAATCGATTTTTTCGTTGAATGATGTGCATGTGTCTGGTAAGGGCTTCAAAAAACATCAGATATTTGATACATAAACATGTTTCCAATATTTATCCTCCAACTCACTCCACTCTCGGAATGTCCGGGTGGAGGGTGGGCTCGAGGGAACAACATCGAAGATAAAATTTGTTTTTCGAACATCTGCGGGATCAACAGCAACATCGATGCTGTTCATCACTACCTGCAATCCAATCGTCCCGCCGTGCTTTTCTTGGCTGAGACAAAAATCTCAGAGACTGCACCGATTAACCATTTCAACTTCCCAAACTACGAGGTGCACTCCAATCTGAGAAAGAACGGGGGAGTTGTGGCTTTTGTCCGCAGCAGTCTTTCCTGCTCCAGGGATCTTTCTTTGGAATCAGACCGGAAGGACATTCTGTGGCTTCGCCTCAGCTCCAAAACATCACCCAAATTTATTTGCTGCCTTTATCGCTCTCCCTCGAACCATAACTGGTGTGACCTACTCGAATACCTCGCCGTCCAGATCGACTTCCTGAACATCAATCACCCCGCTTCAGAGGTAGTTCTTCTAGGTGATTTCAATGCCCATAATGAGCTTTGGTTGGGCTCAAATAAGACCGATGCAGCAGGTCGTGCAGTCGAAGCGTTCGCTCTTTCTCAAGGGCTGACCCAGCTGGTCACGAGCCCTACTTTTTTCCCCCGCGTCTCGTCACACGCCAGTAGCCTGCTGGATCTCTTTCTGACCACGCATCCTGCCCCTTACAGCACTGCTGTCCTGTCCCCCCTGGATAACTTAGATCACGGTGTTGTGGAGGTTAGGTTTCGGTCAGAAGCCGCTGTGGCAGCAGAAACTCGCACAGGCCGCAAAACTTGGCATTACGGACATGCCGACTGGGAGGGGCTCAGAGATTTCTTCTCTAGCTTTCCTTGGAGAGATGTCTGTTTCACTGACGCGGATGCGTCGACTGTCTGTTCTTCAATAACCGAAATTATCCACGTCGGAATGGAGGAATACATCCCTCACACAGTGAAAGAGCCTAAGCCAGGGTCCAGCGGCTGGTTCAACAAAATCGACACTGCTCGCCAGCAGAAGATCAAGGCCCACAGAACCTACTTACAAAACCCCACTGTAGAGAACAGACAAGCCGACGTCGAGTCCAGAAACAAATATAACGAAGCGGTTCGCAATGCCAAAAACCAGCATGATATAAAAGTTAGGCACAGGGTAATGTCGCAGCGCAATGGCAGTCGGTCTTTCTGGACGCTGGCCAAGCAGATTGAAAAGAACTTCTCACACAGTAGCCTTCCACCACTTACGTGTCAAGATGGAACTATTGTATTCGACTCAAAGGCCAAGGCGGAAGTGCTAGCTAAGATCTTTGCTGCCAACTCCACCATGGACGTCCCCACCCACGCCCAAGTGCCGTCAATTCAACGGGTTCCCCACACTATGCGGGAGGTAACATTCAGGCATAAGACCGTAAGACGAGTGCTCTTGTCGCTCGACATCAACAAAGCTTCTGGTCCGGACTTGATTCCTGCCATTGTACTGAAGAGATGTGCAGCGGAGCTTGCTCCAGTTCTTTCGCGTCTCTTCCAGATATCTTATGAATCCGGCACCTTCCCAGAAAACTGGAAATTTGCTCATGTACAGCCCATCCCAAAAAAAGGATCTAAAACCGACCCTTACAACTACAGGCCTATAGCTCTGCTTTCTGTTATAAGTAAAGTGATGGAGAGGTGCATAAATCGCGAGCTTCTGGACTACCTCGAACGTCACAGCTTGATTAGCGACAGGCAGTACGGTTTCCGGCACCAACGATCCACAGGGGACCTCCTAGCTTACGTCACGCAACTGTGGAGTAAACTCATCCAGTCTCATGGTGAGGCTCATGTCGTTGCTCTTGACATCACGAAAGCGTTCGATCAGCTGTGGCACGCTGCCCTCTTAAGCAAAATTCCATCCTATGGTCTCCCAGAAAAGCTTTGCAGATGGGTGGCTGACTTTATCTCTGGCCGCAAGATATCCGTCGTAATTGACGGATTCTCCTCTTCATCCCACAACGTCAACGCGGGTGTTCCCCAGGGATCGGTCTTGGCTCCAACACTGTTTCCCTTACATATCAACGACCTCCTTTCCTGCACGATCAACCCAATCCACAGCTTCGCTGATGACAGCACTCTACATGCAGGAATTCAGAGTGACAAGCCGATCTCTGCCACTGAGCTGGAAAAAAGAAGACTAGCGACGACTTCTTCTCTGACAAGAGACCTGGAGGCTATCACTGCTTGGGGACGCAACAATCTTGTACAGTTCAATGCTTCCAAAACACAGTACTGTACTTTGACGAACAAAAAGCGTCCTAGCGCTCATACAGTTTCGATGGACGGTCGAGTTCTACCAAAGAGCCATTCATTTCGGCTGGTCGGAGTCCAGATCACCGAGGACCTGATCTGGCACGAACACATCTCTTCAATAGCTGCAGCTGCTGGGAAAAAGCTAGGCTATTTGTTTAGGGCTAAGAAGTACTTTTCTCCGCATGACATTCTCACTCTATACAAGGCCCAGATAAGGCCTAGCCTCGAGTATTGCTCACACATTTGGGGTGCTGCCGCCCCGACTACATTGTCCATGCTCGATGCTGTCCAGAGGAGGGCGGTCCGACTGATCAATGACTCTTCCCTAACAGACAGTCTCGGGACCCTTTCGCACCGGCGGGCCGTCGGCGATCTAGCTCTTTTCTATCGCTACACCAACGGGCTTTGCTCCTCAGAGCTCTCTTCCATGATGCCGCCGCGCGATGTGCCTGCCAGACAGACCCGCCAGACTTCGGCGTCCCATCCTAACCGTGTCAAACTTCGTACATCCAGAACTGGCCGATACGACCGCTCCTTTGTCCCGAGGGTGTCTAGATTGGGGAACAATCTACGGGAGGAAGCTTTTCCCAGTTCTACTAACCTTAGGCAGTTCAAAAATCGTATTAACAAAATTTCTTTGGGATCATCATAGCAGCCGCGGTGTTCCGGCATTTAGGCTTCTGCCTGCGCGGCTGTTTCGACATAAAAAAAAAAAAAAAAATCCTGAAACTGAAAATCATTTCCACTCAAATAATTTTGTTGATTTGAGGATCAGTTCCGCTGCATATTATACGTCTTTCTGAAACGTCAATTTACTACAATTTTAGTCATGAATCGCTTTACACTGAAACAACGCGCCGAAATAGTCACAATGTACATTGAAAATCGTCGTATAGTTGAGTGCATATCGTCGAAAATGTCGTGGCAAACAGCCACCGTCTGACAACACTATCCGTCGTTTGTTTTCGAATTTTCTTAGTATGGGACAGTGGGAGATCGTCGACATACCGTTCATCAACGACCAAGATGTTCCAATGAATTGGTTGAAGCGGTCAGAGACAGCGTTGCCCAGAACCCAAGTGTCGTAGCGCCCCCTCGCTCAGCATTTTGGCATCAGTGGAACCACGTTGCGGCGAATTTTCGCATTTGTTTCCTTATAAGGTGCAGTTAACACAAAAAATATTGCCAACTGACCGTCCACGTCGCTTGGAACAGTCGCTCGTATGGTTGACGCTGAACCTGATTTTTGGAAGCAAATTGTGATGACCGACGAGGCTCATTTAGTTATTTCATGTTTACATACCGACATAAAAGATGACGCACCCTGTATATTTTTCCATTACAAACTTACCGTTACTTTTCCATGTAATGACTTGGGTGCAGGTGGAGTAGCAGGAGAAATAGCACCCACGCCAGGGGTGGCCACAGTTCCCAGAACAAGTCCCAGTCTGGGATCCATCACAAGCTGATATGGAGACCCCGTAGTGTTATTTAGAATTACGGGTGGTGGAGGAGGTGGTTTAGCTGCCGCTAAAAAAATATATAGAAATAGAACGTTTAATTTTTTTTTTCTCATTAAGAAATAGTGTTTTTTGTGTTGCTATCTAAAGTGCTATAATTAACCAGATTCAGAAATTAAAGTGCAAGTATTTTTGCATTGAAATTAAATACCTTGGCGTTAAGCACTTATGGGTTTTTTACATGAAAATTAATTTTATAAAAGATAATACAACAATGGAGAAGATTCGATATTTTGTGTTTGGTGTTAATTTAAAGGACTCTGTAGAATAAATCATAATCCAATAATTAAAACAGCAATTTATTCATCAGTTTGAAGTTTTCGGCGAAAGCAGATCTACGGTTATGATGCGGTCACTCCTGTTCCTCTATTAGCAGCAATACTTAAGAGGCCCAGTGCGCCGAATCTTAAAATACGGCACTCATTTATAGTGCTTGGAAGTTTCCACATACTATAGTTCACGAGTAATATGTTATTCAAACCACATATCTGTCACGCCAAAACAAAAAATTGTTCCATGATAACTATGCACTTCCCATGCAATGCTGTCAAAGTTTTATGTTCACCATTCTAAGCAAAAAATTATCTGAAAACATGTGTAACAATAAAATGTGATGGATCAAGTCAGTCAAACACCATACTACATACATGTGATCTAGAAATTTCTTTTACTCTTCACGCGTCTCCAAAATGGCTGAGACTTTGGTGAGTAACTGTCAACAGATGAACAACGAAATTCACTAACTTTTATTTACGAGCGCTGCCATCTTCACGTTGAGGTCGGAAACCGAAACGCAAAAAATTGAGATACGCCTGGAATCTCTAAAATGTCAAAAAACGAAGTATGAACGATTTTTACAAAGGGTCATCCATGTGTGGACGGAATATTACTCATGAACAAATACATTTTGAGAAAATCTATTTATGCCATGTTATACATGACATTTGAGGGCACATTCCTAAAATATTGGCAATTATACAGGGTGTCCCAAAGTTGTGATTTTTTAAATGGAATGCCTCAAATTTTATTGCATATTTGGATCTTATCTGTTACTTTTTCGAATTTTCATTTTTGCACATACAGGGTGGTCAAAAACGCGATCATTCGTAGATGTGAATTGTGTATTGAACACTTGGGTTTACATTTCGAGCAACTACTTTAGATTTGGTATGTTTGTCCTAACTATCCAATAGCATTTTAGTTGTAAATAATTAATTTAACTTGTTAAAAATAATATTGGAAAATTAAACAAATTAATATTCTGTTTTTTTGTGTTTATTTGGAGTTAGGAATTATTGCTGTGTTTAAAAACACAATCTAAACGATCATCTTAATTACTTGTAATGCCCAAATCGAAAATGTAAAAAAAATATTATTTTCCCATAAATAATTAAAAATGCATTGAACCTTAAAAATCGAAATATCTCAAAAACGACTAACTATAACGAAAACTCATAAGAGAGCTTTTTATGCAGAAAAGTGCGAAAAATCAGTTTTTTCATTCAAAAAGCAAAAAATTTTCGGTCATTTTAATACACTACAGGTACTGTAAAGAGCGTCCTCTAGCGGCTACAGTAAAACTATGCCCATGGTTCGTTTTGTCGTACCAAAAAACCCTTGTATACCAATTTTCACTGTTATACATCAAATATTGTTCGAAATATTTAAAAAAAAAACTATTTTAGAAAGTAAATTTAAACACCCTGTATTTCGGAAGCCACGCATTTTTCAACTCATGTTTATATAGACTTTATGCATTAATTTTAAAACTTCTATCGAATCTTAAAGTTATGCAACAATAAACACCCTGTGTATAACAAATTTTTTATTTTTCTGTCTTTCAGCTATCTTACCTGTCAATACATTGTTGACCGTCTCCGTAATTTCAACGATCGTCGACAGATCCCCTTTGTGTACAACTTTAGCATGCGGGCTGTTTAACAGCTGCTTCAGTTTCTGCTCAATTTCTTTCTCTTCAGCCTGCCTCTTCTTTAATCTGTTCTGCTGAACTTCATCTAGTTGTTCCACCCAACAGTCCAGTTCTAACGTGTTTTCGGCGTTGCGGTTCGTTATTGTTTTCAGCACCAACACCTCTCGATCGGCTGTTACGTGAAAGGTAACGTTAAGCATTGCTTATAGATGTATCATGATAATGGCTTTACATTAAAATAGCCATAACAAATCAGAATAACTCTCAAACTCCTCACTTTTCTTGCCAGCAGCATTGGAGAAAATTGAAAATGAATTCAAGAAGGATAGAACTTACCATTTCCATCAGCTGACTTCCGATGGCTGATTTTGTATTTCTTTTTTGGTGGGGGAGGCGGAGATGGTTCTATAAGTTGTATCTAGAAAAAACACAAACGAATATACTCAAAAGGATGTAAAGATATTGCAAAAAAACTTCATCAAATAGGAGTCCAATTACAAAATATGATAGAAATATAAGCTGAAGCAGGTTGTCTGAGTCAAGCTTCCTAGAGGCCCACTGGAATTATTTTTTTCCTTAGAAACATACTTTGAAACATCCCAATTCTGCTATCAACAATGTAAATAATATAACCTTTTATCATCAAAATGTACATCACAAGCAACACACTATATAACAGAACACTTAAGCAACTTGACTTTTGCAAGAAAGCTAAATAATAATTCACTTACTGATGCTAGATACTATTGTGATGTCCACAGGTCAGTAGACATGAAAGAGATGAGAAGTTAAGTATTAAAACTGCTGGTCTACCAGATGTTAATTCAAAATACAAAAAATGTTATAGATGATGCATTTAAAAATATTAATTTGTACACTGACACATATTCCACATGACAAAGGACAATTGCACCATGGTACTTACTAAGAGCAGTTCTTGAGCAATAAAAAATCTCAACATTATTGGTGACACCTCAATTGCATTTATGTCAAAAAGTGATTGTCCAATCATAATATTAGAATTGACATATTCACCAGCTCAAAATTCATATTGACAAGTAAGCAAATATTTTAGAACATGAATACATACATCTTCATCAGGAATTTCTACAGCATCATCTTCATCATCCAATAGTAACTGCATCTGTTTCAAAGCTTCTTTACTAGCAGCCCTCCGAGCATGAGTCCTTGGTGCAGGCATTACCTCCACTTTGGGAGCATACTGGGCTGGTGCCTTTTTAGGCATTTTCACCTGAAAAAATTATTTTAAATAAAAACAACAAAATACAGTTACAACATCCTTAGGTGCATGGCAGAAGAGCATCAATAATGGCATTTTCAAGCAAGGTATGTATAGAAGTTATCCACTGCTTATACTACCAAGAATAGTCAATATCAAGAGATTTGAATATTTTCAATGATTAATGATATTTTCTGAAATGTACATAAAGATAATGACATTTACAACTTTACACTTTAGAACTGATGTCTTTCTTCTTCATAATGTATATGAAATTCTTGTCTTTGATTTCCCAAAATTCTAGAATTGCCCATCAAATATCAATCAAAGTTTCCAATACAAAATTTCCAATCTGATATAGGTAAGGGTTAAATGACAACATTCTTTTATTTCTCCATCAATGTTTTAGATGACATTTGCTAATGATCTAGATATGTCATTATTTATGTAATGGGAGAAAAGCTCAACAAATGTGGTGATGATTTTTCAGTTTGGTAGTAAATAAATATTTTATTTATACTGAATATCAAGATGGCAGTTGTCTGAATAAGACTCAAGCTCATCTATAAAAAAAATGGTCAAAGTTTACGTTCTTCCCCCCTAACAATCAACAGATGGAATCAAAGTAGCAATTGAAAATCAGCAACATTTACTGCTAACACAGATGTCTCCCATAATGAGTTAGAAATAGTATGAGTGCATTCAGCTAACATGCAGTATGCAAGTATCCCAAGTGAACAGTTAACTGGAAACTAGTTTCTTGACGGATCAAGCAAGGCTTCAAGGTAGTACTGTTAATATCATTTCATTGTATCCAAAACAAATCGAATTTATCAGACAAAGAATTTCTAACATCTACAAATCAGAATGTTCAATATACTGAGTAATATCCTCGCTAATATCGACTATTGATCAAACAAAATTAAAAGTACAATAAGGTAAAATTTTATAAGCTAAAGCCCTTCTTAATACAACCGTGTAGAAACGCCTTAACAGATCTCAATTAGAAAACATGTTTAAATGAAGTGTAACATTTGATCAAAATATATTCCAATAAGTGAGAGAGCATTTTTGCCGCACCCTGTATCTGTATATAACTTATAATACATGGAGAGCGCGATATTTTGAAATTAATAGGGGAAAACGCGGGCAAAAACAATGGCGATATTTGACAGATTACGCCGGTCGAGCGAGGTATAGATCCGACTTACTTTCGATTTCATGTAAAAGCACTATTTTACTTTCGGGAAAATGTAGACTGAGCGCTATTCGTTAATCTTACAGTACGGTCATAACATAAACAAATCCACTTTTACAACCATTAGCGTCCATTTTCACTTTGTTATGTCAAAAATCACGATAGGCGGAGTCAATTAAGGTTGGCGCGAAATTTGAATTTGCGAGGCTGATTAGCGCGTAGAAGTCAATTAAGTTCGTTCTATGAAGTGAAAACTGGTAGGAAACGCAAATGTCAACTAAAATAAGCGAAAACACCAAAAATCAATACAATAATATACACCACATTTAAAAAAAATTCCATAATAACACCTCTATAAAATGGCGTCTGTTACAGTGGAAGGGGTATAGCCTAACCAATCAAGGATGAAGTCTATTTCATACATGACATTTTGAGAATTTTAGGAAAATTATGTCCAATATTTTCGGAAACACTGAAAACTTTACCTTATCTTTTTCTTCTTTAACCTTAACTTCTTCAACTTTTAATTCCTTGTTGTTGTCTTTCTTCGATATCTTTATTTTGAACGTGGACTTAAGGGGCAAATTTATCGATGGAACCGCCTCTGGTTGTAGTTCACCTACAATATACAGTGGGATGAACAAAAACTGATTACATACAAGGCGTTATAATCTTACTTATCCTTTTAGCCGGGTCCGAATTCTTGGCAGACTTTGCAAAGTCCCCTTTCTTGAAATGTTTGGAACATACTTTAGATCGTTTATTAACATCGGTTTCAGATAGATTGGCTGCTTCCAACCACCGTCGTCTCAAAACAGCCTCTTTCGGTAGAGGAAAAAAGGTAACTTCGGAGTCCGGGCCACTTTCACAATTTCGCACAATACACTTTGTTCTTTTCATTTTTAATAGTAAAACGGAAAGTTACATTAGAAGGTTATGTTATTAAAACTACAAGCGTCTTTTCTGCCGACACCGTGTTACAAATCCAGGCCTGATGGACTAGTGCACTAATAGCGCCGTTGCCAAGCTTCTCGAGCAATTTCTCCTATAAAAAAACCGGATTCATTATTTTCCGAACAACATATTTAAATATATTTAGCTATCCAAGGAGATATTCACTCATATAGGATTATTTTAATAATGAAGATTTTATTATAGAGACACAATGCATCCTTCAGCAATAGAATTCACAACTCATTTTCAAGGTCTTCAAATGTTCCATATTGATACAATCATTTTGAACATAATTATAATCATTAAAATAAAACGTTACATATTTCACCGCAATATGTGCTAATAAAAGTTAAATTGTGAACGCATCATTCTACTGTATACTACGATTATTACCTCATAATGGCTGAATATCAAAAAGGATTTTATAATGCTTTTCACAAGCCTCCGCCATCTTGGCAGAATCAAGGTTCAAGTTAAACTCGAATATACCCAGATTTAAAGAAAGTCCTGAAAATTGGCATCTATGATTGCTGCTGACGGCTTTTGTACAAGATGGTAGATGACAAGTGAAGTTACGCAGAGAGGATATGCGACTCATAGTGCGGATGTCTGTATGACGGCTTGCGTGAGACTGTGCTCAAGCTAAAATCGTTTTTCATTATAATCAAGTTAGTGTGCTTTAATTAAAAATATTCATAATTAGTCATGGAGGGCTTTTTCAAGAGTTTTATCGAGCAAAATTTGTTGAAGTACTAAAAGAGATTATAATAATGAGAACAAACCAAATTCAAATGAAACAATTGAATGCTGCGTTGGTGAGTAAAATTAAGGGACTTTAATAATATGAATATCTTCAGTGACATTTTTGCAAAATATACAGCATATTTTTATACAAAATACAAAACACCTACATAATATAAAACAACAACAGAAACTGAATGTTTGTATTATTATTATTATTTTTTTGTTTCGCGTAACATTTCAAACATTTGTACTGTTAGTGGATCCTTGATCTTCTGGTATGCTGATCTGGAACTGGAGCAGCACCACAAGGTATGTAACCATTGTCGCAATCAACTGAAAAAAAAATGGATTCAGTTTAGTTCCTGATCATTTTGAAAAAAAATTCGAGTTGAAAAACCTGTGAGGGGATTATCTATCTCAATTTTTTGATGTTAGTATATTTATTCGCTACCAACTTTGGTAATTCTACGCACCGATTATACACGCCGCCGGCCTTGGTGGTGTTACACGTATTTCTCCCGCGCGACAGCAAAGAACATAATGTTTTCTAAGCTATGGACCTGTTTGACTGGCTAATCCAACGATTTGGATAAACAGTTTGTAAATAATTACGAACCTCTACACTGAAATGGGCTGGTGCACCATCATGCATGTACCACACATTGTTTCTTATTACTAACGGAACATCATCAAGCAGCAAAGGCTACTGATGTTGAAGAAAATTGAGGTAAGCCTGTCGGTCAAGTCGTCGCGCCAAGAAGAAAGGACCAATAAGTGGTTGCCAATAGTTACTGCCCATACGTTAACCGAAAATTGGTGTTTGAAATTCGTCCGTGAATAGAATCATTGATTAACACTGACAAAAGGTCACACGCCTTGGAAAATCAATGGGAAGTAATGCCTGTACTCTTAAAATATTGTAAGGATATAACAAAAAATCCACTAAAATTCTCCAAACAATTTGTTGGCAAATATTTAAGTGTCTAGCGATCTTCCTCGTACTCGTTTCAGGATGTTCTTCGACTTCGTGCAGCACTGCTTCCTCAATTTCAGGTGTTGTCACTTAGAGGTCTACCTTCAGATGTTCCTTTTCGGACAGAACCAGTTTCAACAAGACGACGATGAATATTAGAAAAGGTTCGACTATCTGGCAAAGCACGATCGGGATATCTCTGGTGATAAATCCGTCTGGCTTGCTCACCATTACAGTCGGCAAGGCCATATACGTAATGCATTTCCGCCATTTCTGCATTTGAATAATTCACCATTATTCACAAGATTGTAAAAACTAAATAATGAAAAAGATGTCACAGGGAGCAGCTTTGAATAATAGAGACTTGTCAGATGTCAAAAGCCAGTGACATATTCCAGAGCAACTTTTATTTTTTTACTCAAAAATGCCTCATCGAAGGAAAACAATTGAAGAAAGATCATTTATTTTAAATTGAACGGGGAATTTAAAAATAATTTTTATTTAGCCAAAAACCATTAGCGTACCATTTTTTTCTCTGAAATATCGAAGTCAATACCCGTACGCATGCCACTGTTAAAGCTAAAAATTATTTTTGCATTGGAAGATATGCAACTTTATTAACTTCCACTACGTACTAAATATCAGTGAAATATCTGAAGCGGTTCTGAAAATATTAATTAATTTCCATTTTTTTCCTAAAACTTCAGCACCTCGAGTTTGTGTAAGGAAACATTTTAGGACCATAGTTTATGAAGCAAACTAACATTAATTTTTCATGCCGATTCATACCCTTAAATATTCGTATATCATTAAGGAACACCCTGTGGGTGTCCGCAAAGTTGGGGTTTTCCTTTACACGACGTGTAGATCTTGAAAACATAAGCAATTTTTCTTAGTGCCATGTACACCAATGTCTTAAGGGAACCGGGATAAACGGCTCTGCAACATCAAAAATATCTGAATACCGTCCTGTAGCCGCGACCCGCGACATCACCGAGTGGTACAAGGTCACTGGCTCAACCCGACGACAGAACTGGGTCGGGGTCAGTGTGTCAGGTCAGTATGCAACCTTCAACCGACGGTTACGGTCACGCGTGTAGAGGTAAACGAACCCGTATAATCGATTGCGTTTCAAAAAAAAAATAATAATGGCACACTCAAACACCAATAATGAACTCGTTGATATGTTGTTAATTTATGGCGAATGTCTTCAAAATGCTACAGAGGCTTCGCGAGTGTATGCAGATCGTTTCCCTAGACGACATCATCCAAAGCCCCGTAGATTTGTGTACTTCCAGAGAGTCAGGGATACGGGCCATTTGGAGGAATTTCGAGGTGGGCCCAGTGGGAGGCCTAGACAACCACGAATGGTGCAAGTTGAGGAAGAACTACTGAATCGCGTAGACGAGAATCTATCAACAAGCACTAGAGACGTGGCTAGAGAAGTGCAAGTATCAAAAACTAAAGTGTGGCAAACGCTGCGTGAAGAGGGGCTGTATCCGTTTCACGTCCAACGTGTACAAGCCCTTCAACCTGACGATTTTCCAGCAAGAGTGCGGTTTTGTGAGTGGTTGTTGCATCAACATGACAATAATCCGGACTTTTTGAAGTGCATATTGGTGACAGACGAATCTTACGTTCACGCGTAATGAGGTGAATAACTTTCGTAACACTCATGTTTGGTCAGTAGAAAATCCGCACGCTGTCGGTCGGGCACATTTTCAACAAACATTTTCGGTGAATGTTTGGGCTGGCATGGTGAACGGTATGCTCATTGGACCATTTATTCTCCCAAATCGATTGGACGGGATGCAATACCTAGACTTTTTACGCAACATTTTGCCTTCCTTGTTAGAAGATGTGCCATTAAGTGTAAGACAATCGATTTTAGACGCGAAGTGCGTGAGTTTTTGAATGAATTATTTCCGAATAGGTGGATCGGACGTAATGGACCCGTAGCGTGGCCTCCGCGATCTCCAGACTTAACACCATGTGATTTTCTTCTTTGGGGAGTAATGAAACGCTTAGTGTACAAAACTGAAGAGCATACGGTTGACGAACTTCGTCTCAGAATTGAACAAGCTGGTGCTTTCATTCGGGGGAGCGACTCCATTCTCAAAGCCTGCACCGATGCTTGGCTACGTCGTGCACGCACCTGTGTTTTTGAATCAAACGGCGATAACTTCGAACAATACCTATAAAGTACGTTTACCTAAAAACTGAAAACGCGGCAACGCCGTCATATTTGTTACCTCTGTTCGTGGTCTGCACCACCGCCTCCGTCTGATCGGTAGCGCATCAGCTGATTTCATTTTCTGTTGGAGCGGTATGATTTCGGGCAGAGACGTACTTAGCCCTTCTCGTCAACTGGAGAGTCGCCCTCGTTTCACTACACATTACCTTTGTTATTTCAAGGGTAGTTGTTTCTGAAAAGGACAACCCCAACTTTGCGGACACCCAGTATATACCTACCGATTTGAATAGGTTTCTGTTCACAGCAAAAAGTCCCACCAATGTCATATCCGTCGGGTTCATTTCTGTGGCTCTTATAAACATGTTAATCTGAAAAAAGTGAATATGATATAAGGGGAAAACTAACTAAGTGAAATATTAGTATATTAACAATTTGGTCATAATTTGGCCTGAATTGTGCAGTGTTCTTGGTACGTTATTTTTTGAATAAAACCGACAATTTTATTTTAGAGATAGTATTTATAATAATTACGCGCAGACCTTATGAAAAACTCCATTCAGAGTGTCCCACAAAGAACTACAGCTATCGAGTAGGTACTCGGAGAGAAGACGTTAGACAATTTCGAAAAAATACGGTTTTGATCATATTTGTGGAGGAAATATGGCAATTCCAGCTACACCGAAGTTAGATACCAAAGTGCTTGTTTTAAGTGGAATATACCAATTACACTGGACAACAAATTTTAGTTTTTTAATTGTATCTTGTGGGAAAAGTGCACTTATTTGTTAATTTTGGGGCGCAGAATCCAAAAATGACAATGAAATAAAAAAATTAGTTGCGGTTTAGAAAAAAAACTTTTTATTTTTAAGGATATATTAAAAAAAGTAACAAGATTCATATACTTATAAGAATCACTATATGCGCTGTCTTTTGCTTGATCGTTTCTGGAGCATCTCTACCAAGAGTCCAACAGTAGTCTGCAAGCATGAAAGGATTCCACTTTCCCTGGTACCTTTTTTCCATTGTTGAAATATCTTGATGAAAACGTTCGCCGTGCTCATCACTTACGGCTCCGCAATTTCAGGAAAAAAGTCCAGGTGTGAGTGTAGGATATGTATCTTAAGAGACATATTACAGCCCATCTTTTGATACGATGACAGCATATTTTTGACAAGGGTTTTATAGTTGTCAGCTTTTCTATTTCCCAAGAAATTAGTGACCACCAGACGGAAATCATTCCAAGCAGTTTTTTCAATACCTGTTAAAGTGTTTTCAAACTGTGTATCTTTCAAAATATTTCGAATCTGTGGCCCAACAAAAATACCTTCTTTAACCTTTGCCTCACTTAGTCTCGGAAATTTCTGACGCAGGTATTGAAAAGCTGACCCATCTCTATTTAATGCCTTGACAAAGTTTTTTATTAGGCCCAACTTGATATGCAGTGGTGGTAATAAATTTTTGTTCGAATCTACTAATGGCATATGCTGTACATTTTTGACCTGGCTCTAGGAATTGACGAACAGGCTAGTTTTGCCTGGTGTAATGAATTGCCTTTGCCCGACTGTCCCATTCACACAAAAAACAGCAAAACTTTGTGTAGCCTAGCTGCAGCCCAAGTAAAAGTGCAACAACTTTCAAATCGCCACAAATATCCCATTGGTGCTCATCGTATTTTATGCATGTCAATAGGTACTTCATATTGTCATATGATTCTTTCATGTGAACTGCATACCCTACAGGAAGAGATGGTAAAATATTTCCAATATGCAATAATACTGCCTTTAAACTCAATGTTGAACTGTCTATAAACAATCTCCATTCTTCTGGGTTATAGTTTATATTTAAAGCCGCCAGTAAGCCGTTAATGTTACTGCAGAAATCCAAGTTTATTCTCCATGTTGAAAAATGCATACATTTTGGATGTTTTAAATCTCTTACAAGATCATTTAATTCTGACTTTGTTATTTTGTGCGGTTGGTGACATGACGTGCTCGGTATAAAATCAGGATCTCTTGACGTTGATGGCATATCTTCTTCCTGACGAATCACTCGATCGCCTTGATCTGATTCGTTTTCTGATTCGCAAGTGTAGGATTCTGGGGGCTTTGGAATAGGATTTTCGTCACTGTGAGGCACAGGTCTCATCGCAGATGGTATGTTTGGGTAGTTAATAACCGATTTTTTTTTCTTGGACATACCTGTGGCTTGTCCAACACAAGGTACCATGCAAAAGTAACAACCATTAATATGATTTGTAGGCTCTCTCCAAACCATTGGGACAGCAAAGCGCATAGACCGTTTTTTGCCATTTAACCAGCTCCTCAGACTTGAAGCACATGTATTACAGCCGATGTGGGGTGCCCACTGTTTGTCTTGATCACCTAGTTTACAACCGAAATAAAGCTGATATGCCTTTGTTATTAGTGGAGTAATAGACCGTCTCTGAGACGCAAAAGTCACATCACCACACACGTAACAAAACTGATCTGGATTGTTTACACACTTTCGAGACATCTTGCATGAACGCTGTCAGTCAACTGAGGAAAAAATGGCTAATATAAAACAATATAATGTACACGTATGTATAACGTTACACAATCATGCCGATTACATCATCTTTCCTTGCCGAATATAAAAATGTAGCACGTGCATTCTTGTGAATTACAGTATATTAACACTGTCACAGCAGGAACACATATAATTACCGTATCTCTAAAACTTGAACTAATATTGAAAAAATAAGTTTCATTCCGGTTTTAGCACATTAAAAATAGTAATATTGTGTTGATTTTATTTAGGATATTTTTTGGCTGTTGATCAGTGTTATTCATTCTTAAATTCTTCGGGAACTTATAAACAAGTGTTATGTCCATCAAAGTCTAACCGTTTTTGTTTTGAGGTATCTCAAGTTTATAATCATCTTTTTTTTCTGGCTTTTGTGTCAAAGGTTACGCATAATTATGTAATGTGTTTTTAAAACATTTGGCTGGAATCCTGACAAATTTTCAGTTTCTCGCCCGGGTACTACAACGATTTATTACAGTTTCGTTGCTGCTAAGCATTTTGCGTATGTCTTGTTTTTAAATGACCTTTTTAGGCCCACTTACTTTGATATAATTGCTTTGCTTTTTCGGACATATCTTGTCGTCAAGACTACCTATAACGTAGATAGCTGAATTTATTATTAGAAAGATAAGAAAACACTACACTCTTCGAGGCCAGACTAAAAACTTTTAAACCGAACATAAAACAAATCCAACTTTTCCGAGTAACATTTTCTTCCTTCCACTGGACGGACGGCTATACCCGGAAATAAAATTTGAGTGAAGTTTCAGCAGGAAAATTCCACGGGTGCTGTACGAAAATGAATTTCCTTTTTGGCCCTATCTTACGACTGGATCACTCACTCGGGATACATTCCAAGCGCAAACTTAGTTTATTAACGGTGCTTCTACCTCGGTAACCATATCCTTGACGTACAAGGGTATTTTATTACTTTGTGATGAATCTGAG